CCTAACTACCTACTACTCTCTCTCTCTCTCTCTCTCTCTCTCTCTCTCTCTCTCTCTCTCTCACAACTTTAATGCACACAAAAAAAGGAAGAAAGAGATGGAGCCCAAAACAAAAAGGAAGAAGCTTTCTCCAGCTACCAGTCTTTTTTAACACAGTCACACGCCAGGCTAATCCAAAAGAAAACCGGCGCTCCCAACCACCGTTCCACCTCGCCGGCACACAAAATACCGATCCACCGGCGACGCGCTGAGTAAAGCAGCCTCCACTACAAGAAAAGGGCGAACCTTTTAACTCTCCCCTTCCTCCGACCGGTGCCTCCCTATAAACCGACACGAATCAACGACAAAGCTGACCACTCGGCCTCCCATTACCGGGCGATACTCGAGGGCTGAGAGCGTAAGCGTACTGCTTCTGGTCTTCTTGGGCGACCCTGATCAGCGAGAAAGAAAACAGAGGAGAGAGATAGAAAACAGGACGCGACGTAATAAAAGAAGGTCTATTGAGGCGGTGGGAGGAGGCAGTTAACTCGGGTTAGGAGATGGGTCGAGCCCCGGGGTTAAACCCAGGCAGACGACGTGGAGACATCATACCTGTCCACGTGGGAAGCAAGAGGGGCATCTGTCCGCAGCAGCGCAGGCCCCTTCATATAAATTACTTTATTCCTATAAATTAAATATTTTTCTTAGAAAAAATTGGGGGAAATGAGTGAGGTTTATGGGACACGCGACAGCCTTGGGGAGTAAATAGCGTATAGACACGTGTATTGTGTGGCTTAATGTTGAGGTTTAGAAGCCTTAATTAATGAGTAGTCCCAACTTTTGCATTCCAACAGTCTTTTTGCAGTTTGTTAATGGTATGTATCCACGTAAAGAGATCATAAAAGCTTGCCTGCACTGCCACTGCAGGAGGCGACTGGATACGACCAAAAAGCCGGCAAAATCTTTTACTCTTCTCTCTCTCTCTCTCTCTCTCTCTTCATGATCATCTTCATTGACTAATGCTTTGTTTTCTTCCTTTTTATTTTTACCTTTGGAGGTTCCAAATCCTTCGTTTGTAGGTGTTTAGCTCCTTTGACCTTTTTGCTCAAGGAATAGATTATTGTTCGGGTTCCTCTTGCGCTGTGCTCTTTTCTTTGTTTTCTGTGGAGGTCACTTCGATGCATATGTTTCTTATGGAACAAAGAGTTATTAGAGATCGGCTCCATAACACCCAAAATAAATATCTAAAGGCTTCAGTTCTAAATCATTCTACTCAGATGATTTCCATTCACAATTTAATTTCTTTTTCCAATATTATCAGTCTCAGCTTACAGCCTACTGATATCAAGTTGGTGTAGATTTATACAATTGATGATATATTAAAATATATAAATAAAAAAAAAATCACATTGTTAGTTTGGCAAGTCACACATCGGAAAAATCAAGTTTGGTATATCATGTTTAACCTATAAATAAGGGCACGTGCTTTGAAGTCGGATGCACCACAAGAAAAACCTAAGTGTCTTTAGGTTTAAGTCCACATTCAGTTAAATAGTTTGGCCTTATAGTTTGAGTTTTTTTCTTATTTAATATTTTCGGATGTTTTATGACCTAGAAGCATCTTCCTAAGACATTTATAATAGTCTCATTTTTATAATAATGATTTGCTCCTCTTTCATCTGTGGATGTAGGTCAAGATCAATTGACTGAACCACGTAAATCTAGTGTTCTTGTCGTTTTTATCTTTTCGCTTTATTGTTTTTGTTGGGTTACCAAAATTACACTTTGAATTTTTTGGAACCAGCTCTAACACATATTCCATCCATCTTTCTAGGAAATGATAATATGATCAAATTCTATATTGTTGAGTAAATAACTTTGGATGCTTCGTGAGGCTTTAGATAGTAGATGCCAGATTGGGAGGTCCCAAGATTGACTCTCTCAGGTGGGCTAATTGTTCTTTGCCTCGGAAGAGTTGGGACTCACGATGCCCACATGTTATTGTTATATTCTGCCCAAACATAATAGCATTTGTTGATTCAGAAGTCTTGTCAGAAAGAGAACATCTACCTGCGGTTCCTCAAATCTAAGGAGAAATGCAGGAGAGAAGGAGTTTTCTCGTCAAGTCTCCATGTCCCAATTGCAGTAACCAATTCATGTAGTTGAGTCCGATGATAATATCTTTGAAGCATCTGTTACATCCTTCGTGAAAAGAAAAGTCATCCGGTCACCTATCAGGATAGGAGACAGCCAGAATCTGATATCACCCATGATCCCACACACAAACTGAGTTGAGAAGGGGCTGGTGAAAGCAACAAGACAACATAGATCATCATCCATTTTATTTCATTACTAAAGTCCTTGTAATTGTTGCCTTAGTTTCTCTGCAAGGTTTGATCACACTTTTCCATCATGATGGGTCACGAGATCATCCTCATCCTCTTCCTCCCCTCTTGGCCTTCGTTTCCTCTGCTGGCCTGCACTGTGCATTTGTGTGCTCCACCTGCAATGATGTTGTGTGGGGACTTGATTTCTGCCACTGCCTCCCCACATGAAAGGATGTTGAGGTCAATGACTGCTCTCATTCATTTCAGATCCCACAACTCAGGCCACGTAGTTTTCTTTCTGGGGGTAGAATTGCTGCATTTATTGTCAGCTTCAGATGAAGCCCATTTGAAGTAGCAGTCTCCGGCAAACACCCAGTTTGAGGCCCTTCAAAGCACTATTCATTGATGACCCCAATTAAGACCCTTATCGAGGCATCTAATTTACAGAATTCTGGCCTATTCGAACACCCTGTCGTCTCTTTCACTGACTTGCATTTGCTCCGCAATGAATGGGGAGGTACAATTCCCTGCTGCAGAGTGAAGGGATGTTCTAACCAGGACAGATCCCGACGCCTTGATGGAAACTTATGCATGGGCCTAGCTGTTCCATGTTCATGTTGGCTCATGCACTGCAGTGTTCTTCACAGTGCTTCCATGTGTAGATAGATCGTCACCAAGATGACTTCGATTCTGTGCAGGATGCAATAACTCCACGTCTACCCCTGCAACCTGATTGCTCGCCATTCATAGACCTTGCAGCTTTTGTCAGACTGTAAAGATCCATTCTGGCTTAGATCTTGGACTACTTGGGTCATGTTTCCACCTTGCAAAGGAAGCAGTCTCCTTGTTCCCTCACAAGCATGCAGTGGCTCCCAACCATTTACTGGGAGAGCAATAGCAATGGCTGACACACCTTCCTTGGAACACCACCCAGGCTCCCTCATTCTTCAGGACATGGCGGCCCCATAGAGAGAGCGAGATGGAGAAAAGTGAACATCTCTGTAATGGTAAGTTAGAGGATTTTTGTCACGTATCAGAATGCAGGAAGCCACCACCATTTCAGTCTGCTTGCTGCAGGAAATGCGATTACGCCACTAAAACAGAGTTGGAGACAGTATCGCATTAAACATCTGCATGATAGATCTCAGCTCCTGGTGGATTGGCATATATCTGTATCAGAGCAACACGCAGTAGCAGAGTACTCTCTTGAGGTGCACAAATCACCACACCCGTACGACCGAATTGGACCATTAGCTTCTGATGCACGTGAAAGGAAATCTTTGCTTGGGAATGGAAGCCATGGACAGATCACATTCTCCATGTTCGACAGACAATAGAAGATGGATCATCTGGTGAAAAAGATGATGGCAGAAAGCCTCGCTGTGTCAATCATGGTAGGGGACCAAAACATAACTTGAATCTGCTCAGATTAAGGACCAGTATAAAGCAGGCTGGTATCCCGATAAGAATCCTGCATATAAACATACCTGCACATCGAAGCATGTACTTGTAATCTTTGGAAGAATTGGAATAACAGGAACAAGTAGTAAACGGTAAGACTTACAAGCTCTTGGACCTGACGAATCTTCCTTTTGTCACACTTGGACACCACA